AATAAAGAAAAATGCATACAATCTCTTTGACAATTATGCATGTCACATTCCTCCCTCTTCAAATGCTCAAAGTCAAAGTCTCAGTGATGTTACAAGTGCATCTTCAAGTGGGTCAATATCAAAAGAGAAGAAGGGATTTTCAGAAATCATGCTCCAAGTAAGTTTATTTTAATTTGAAATAATAATTTATTTACTAACATTGTATTTTTTAAAAACTTATATTTTTATGTGTTTAACTTGTCAAATATGGTAGGAATTGAAAAAGCACAATCATCCCTTCAATGCAGCAAAGATTGGAAAATCTCAACTTGATGTTTATCTGGGAGAGGAGAATTTGGATTTTGATCATGATACATTTGATATATTACAATGGTGGAAAGGGAGAGCTAAACGCCTTCCAAATCTATCACTAATGGCTCGTGACTTATTAAGCATTCCTATTACCACTGTTGCATATGAATCTGCATTCAGCATTGGGTCACGGATCCTTAATAAATACAGAAGCAGTCTCTTACCTGAATGTGTTGAAGCTTTGCTTTGTACCCGTAATTGCCAGAATGGTTTTTCCGGGACTGGTAATTTATTTAATTTGAATTCATTTTATATTGAACCATACTTGTTTGTAAAATTAATTATTATTTTTCCTCAATTATTATTTATATAGATGAAGGTGCCTCTGATGTGAAGATTAATGAGAAGATTGATGAATGATGACGATGGCAGTTAATGTTTTGTTGGAGCTTTTTCAAAGCAATGAATCAAAAATTAGTTTGTGTTTTTTTTTTTCAATTTGAATGGACATTTGTGTGTATTGTAGTTAAACTTGATAACTAGTTTCATGAATTAATATTTTTATTTTATTTTTTGGGTTGCCTTGTAGAATCAATTTTAAGCAGAATTTGTACGATGCTTTGATTCCTATATTTTATGTAGTTTTTTGTGTTTTTGTATTGATTTTTTTAATTTTATTAGTTTTTTTATTTTGAGCGGGCTGGCCCGCAACCCGTCAACCCATTCATAAAACGGGGCGGGTTGCTAAGTTTGGCCCATTTTATCAAAACGGGGTGGGTTGGCCCGGCCCATTTTTGGCAGGCCAATGACGGGCCGGGGCGTGCCAGCCGTATTGCCAGCCCTACTCTAAGGGCCAGTTTGGTACATGAGGTTATTTTGGAATCTTGGAAAAGTGGGATTGAAAAAATTATTTTTTCACTTTGGAACAAGGAATAGTAAAAATATTTCTAGAAATATTTATTCCCATGATTTTGGTTTACACTACCGATTCCCATTTGAAAATACCATCCAAGGCATGGTATTTATTTTTCCCACGCAGTGGAAAAGTAGTCACACATTTCTCAAACCAAAATACCCTGAGCCCTATCTTATCAGCTGTGTGAAAAAATCGAATTGTTGTGAAACACATAGTTGCTCTGAAACATATCATTGCACCGAAACAAATCGATTTCCACGGAAACTTGCCTTTGCTTGGTTCGTACGATTTGCTATATTAAATATTGCAGGGTCCATCTTGAAAAGTTAATTGAAGCATGTAAATATAAAGTTACCTTCAAGTAGACCATAATCTGATCGTTTATGCTGGCAAGAGATATCAAGTTCCTTCAGGAAAATCTTGACGAAGAATCAGTGCCTGTCTATAGCTCTTTATAGCATACTCCACATGTTCGCTGAAATAAGCAACATATTTAGATGAGCTTCCAGCTATGACCCATTATCTAGAGATCATATTGCTTACAAGTCAGTGACAGGTGTTGCAAGGACAATGGGGGGAAATAAAATATAAACAATAGAAAGAGTAACTTCAAACTTCTGATGCAGATAACCGGAGTATAAAAGGGACGAGAAATGAACCCTAAAAAATGTAAGAAGTTCGACACTCAATTTTAATATCAGGTTAAAAGTACTCTCATTTCAAGCTCACACTACTAAGAATTGTACAAAAATAAGCTCTGTATATGCAATATGAAGATGAATAGAGTGCTGGAAGAAGTCCAAAGGAAATAAGTCATTCTTTGCACACTGATTTTTTTTGTTTTGTTTTTAATCGTGTTTCAAATATTGTTAGTTTCATAAATTCTACCTATATTTCTAACAATATTTTATAATCAACCAAACATATATCCAGGAAACTTAGTCAGTATTTTTGATAATATTTTAGCCTACCAAATAGTTTTTTGGTAATATTATAGAAAAACTCATTTTTTTACCATATTCTTAGTAATCGTGATTCTCAAATAATTTTTTTTTTCATATACCAAATGTCCCCTAAATCCTACTCGGCGTGGACATTCTCCATGGAAGTCCCAACGTGGTTGGGTGGTTGCCAAATTTCTCAAAGTCCTAGCTCGGCTAGAAATTCTCCTAACAAGACCCAACTTAGTTAACCAATATCCAAGATCTAGTTTGTCTAGAAACTTGCTAGCTAAAATTAAACTATATTTTTTTTTTTTATCGTGGTCAGCATATTCCCATTGTTTCTCAGCTTATGCTTAAGACCCACTAGTAGTGTGTCTTTTGTTAAACTTAATACATGTTTGGTAGAGAAAATATTTTTTTTATCGAGAAAAAAAAAATTCAGAAATATAGTGAGAAGTTTTTCTTTTTCAGGTAAATTATGAAAAAATATTTGGTAGGTTCAAAATTTTTCCAAAAATATTGAGTTAACTATACTGATGCTATGAAAAAATAAAGATGATATTTTCGTTTGGAATTCTATAATTAAAACTGAAATAATGGGGGAAAAAATTCTCTAGAAATATGTTCAATTTTCTCGTATTAAATGTTTGAAAAAAAATTTATTACCCCACTTTTTCAGGATTTCTAAAACAATCTCCATACCAACAGCCCTGAACTTGTGCCTCACTATTGTTTATATTGACATCGTGCACCTTTTAAGAAAAAATAAACCAAAATTTAACACAAATTATTCAATATTTAAATTATAAAGATAAATATATAAACCATGAATGTGCTAATATTTCAATTACAAAAGTAAATGAAAATATAGTTGTACAGATAATTTTTCAACCAGAGTTAAATGTAAAAATATAGTGGATGCAAAAGGCCGATATAAAATTGAATTCTAGGCCATTTTTTTTTATTGTTGAAAACTTGAGTTTTAGTAATAGCCTTCGACAAAATTAATAATGATAAAAAGTAAACCCATCAAATTTTGAATCTGAATAAATTAAGAGACATTTCAGTTAATATTATAACGTTGATTTTTCTTTTTTTTGTAACGTACCAGTTTTTTAATATATATTTTTAATAAAATTTGTAAATATATTTTAGGTTCATTTTTTCTGCCGTAAGCCAATATTATAAGTTATCTGAATACGATGTCGTTTTGAGGCGAAAATCCTGGTGTTTGTAATTTTAATTTATTTCAGAGTTATAATAGTCTTTATATTTATAAGTTTTTAATATTTCAATCACAAAACGACGTCGTTTTGAGAATAAATGCAGATAACTTATCTGCATTAATTGCATAAACATTTTTCCCATATATTTTACACTTTTTTCCGGAAATAAATTTTTAAGAAAAGTTATTTTTGTAAAATTATATTTAACCTTGATCTTTTAAAACTTCTTTTACTAAAATGACATGAAGACAAACAGTAATCCTATTTATAAAAATATTAAAAGAATTTTATGATTATTTTAGTTTTCGTATCACTAAAATATAAATTTTTATACCGTATTTTCATGACACAGTTTCTGCTGTCTTCACTGCAGTAAATTTACATCATCTGAATTTAAAAAAATAATAATAATACATTCCAGTAGTTTTATTTTCCTTTTTTCCCAAAAAATCAAATTACATAAAATTTTAACTATACTCACTCTACGGTTCCCAGAAGCATTTATAAAATTATACATCAATGTGCCTGTATTCAAACCCCCATTCCAAAATCAGTAAAGGAATCAACAAACTGCAGATCTGGGTGGATTCGAACCACCATCCTCTCAAAGCTTGGAATAATTCTTAAACACATGCTCTGAGCGCTCTACCGTTTTGAGCTTACAGATCTATTATATAATATTAAAAAATTGAAGGAAAAAATACCTTGATTTCGCCCCCCAGACCGATTATGATTTATGCATTCTGCTGTAATATACATGCTTCAGCATTGCATTTACATTCAATTTGACAGAGCCCTGAGAATCAATCAATAAACAGTTAAAGCACATTTAAATATTGTAAATTTGGCATAAAAATGCGATTTATTATCTCAAAAAAAAAAACCACATTTTTTTTAGATAAAATATTCATATTATCATTTTTTTCACTATTATTAATCCACTATAACTCTAATCTGAATAAAAAAAAAATTAGGCTGAAAGAAAGAAAAATTGCTGAAAAGTTTGATGTAACAATATCCTAAATCTATTTTTTTGGGATGCTAACCATATTTCATAACCCCGTTGAAGAAACATATTTGTAATTAAAACACACTTCAAAAAAGATTAGAAAGATGTACTTGGCCATTATTACTGAGAAATTGGACGCCACATCAAAATCATTCGAATTACACGATTATTTCTAACGAAAAAACGACTCGAAACAACAATTTATGAGCCTAGATGGGCCTGCAAATTAAATTAAAATTCGATAAATTTCAACAAGACATTACATGCGGGTCCAGTTCGGAATATCAATTCCAAACAAAATATCCAATCAATTAGTGAATATCATAAGCAGCAAAATAGAGGGATTCAAGCGAGATATTTGTCATAGCTTTAAGAGGAGATAAACGAACAAAGATTGCATCATTATGAACATTTTTTACAATTACTACGGCAACGTTTTAGGTAAATCTCACAAATACATTACGAAATAATTCAAATACATAACAATAAACGAACAAAGACTGCATGATTATGAACATTTTTTACAATTACTACGGCAACTTTTTAGATAAATCTCACACGAACAAAACTTTCAAATACATTAACAAAATAATTCAAAGACTAATCTTGATGAATTAGAACAGTAAAAAGCATGCAGTCAAAAAACGAAAATAATCTTAAACAAAGACATCCACGTATCTGAAATTTTAACCTCACAAGTACAGCTTCCATTTCTACCACAATTACACGGAACATCTCTGAACACTATACTTGAATACCTCAGTATAGCTCAATAGTTCCGACCGTGATATTATTTTACAGAATACCTCAGTATTACAAAATAATTCGCTGCTATACTTGAACATGAAAATTGTGAAATAAAGTAAAAGCGTCAATAGTTCCGACCGTGATATTTTTTGTCCTCGAGCTACCAATACAATTTCACTGAAATGATTAGAGGACCAGAAGATGCATCACATGAATGGACATGAGCAATTTAAATTTACACAATTCACAGAATTGAAGCGAAAAATAATTGAATATGAACTACACAAAACAACGGTACAGAAACAACGAAAACTATGAAATATTTCATTGCTGAAATTAAGCAGTACCGAAGATATCTTCACCGTAACAGTAGATGTGGAATAAGATTTTGATGAAGAATATCCCCAAGAGCTCCCAAGCCATATTGCGTCCACAAAAAAATTGATAATATACAAGCTTATCTCCAGCAGCAAAACCGATAATATACAGGCTTATGATCTTCACCTGGCAATACATGCTTTCAAAACTATATGGCTGCTTTACAGCTGTTGAAAGTCGGGGCGGAATTTGAATTTTTACATATGTACATGTACAAAGTGGACTCCATCTTTAATGGAAATAAAAGACTAGTTTAACACGAACGTACAACGAAAAAGATGACACCGTTATAAGTTCTTTTACTTGCCCAAATGAACATAACCATTGCAGCTACACCGTAAATAAGAATGTCGCAGAAAATAAACTTTTAAATATTTTAAAAGAGCTTGGTCACGATTAGCTTGCCCAAGAAGCATAATTTGTAAAATAAATTTACCGAACACCCTGTTATTTTTCATTAGATAATTATTAAGGGATAATATAATTCAGAATTTTACTTGGAACCCTATTACCTTTCAGATGGAAATTATGGAAGAAACTCCCCTAAGCATTTTCTGCCAATAACAAATTACCAAATCTTAGAAATTACCATATCATTCAATTAGACATAACTTGAAAATTAGATGATGCCTAATAGCCATAAACAATTATGAGAGCAGTTTGTTGGTTTTGTCATTTATAACGCCTCATACCGATTATAGAATTGATAACGGCAACCCTTCAAAATGTAAATTAATAGGTAATACCTTAATTGATTGGAGGCGAAGCGAGTCTGATGATGTATCCATCCCGTCCAGAGTTGTATTATGGAGTCGAGCGACAATTAGGGTTTAGTGAAGGGCATAACGAAAAAGAGCAAGGAGCAGAGGACACACCACACGAGGGAGAGATCCCGGGCAACTCCCGTGCGATCTCCCCCATAACACACGACGGGGAGATCCCGGGAAACTCCCGTGCGATCTACCCCCAAAACAATAAAACTTTTTTTTATTAAGATTGTGTTTGACCTGCCATGCAAGCGCACCTGACATGGCAAAGGTCGGATGACAAGATCGCTCAGGACAAGAACCTTGAGCCACTTCATCCCAAAATCTTACATTCACATAATTTCCTCCTCGCAGCTTCACACCATAAACTATAATTACAACATCTGAGATCTGCAACATATGTAGCCGGTTGATCGCAGCGAATTACCGAACAATCACGACAGATCTACGGTTGAGATAACATATCAATCCACAAAGTGGAAGCACCTCGATTCATTCATAGATCCGCGTTCTAGACACGATTCTCCGTCATACCTGCAAAACAAAACCTCAAGATCCGTGATACCATACAACTAGCTCACACTTCTCGACCGCAGATCTGAGACGCCAGACTTCATATCTCTGAAAGACCTGCAAAATAAGTAATTGATAACAAAATAAAAATACATCAAAGGTAAGTCGTACCCAAGCGTTTCCATTATCGGTTTGAGGATCTCGATCTGATCCGATCAGATCCTATCAAGAAAACTGTAACAGAAACACAAACAGAACAAGATCTAACTTTATTTGTAGGAGAAATAGAGATGTAGAAGGAATAACAAAAGGGGGAAACCCTAGGAGAAGCTTCAATGAAAAATTAAGAGACCCTAACCTGTGTTTTATAATGGATTTTTTGTGGAATGGACGGCTGAGATTACTTGTGCGTGACGGTGGAAAGTTGGTGACGTGTAACGTTAGGTGCGGCTCATTTATCGGTGAGACGTTGCTGTTTGTTAGCTGTATTTCCTTTTAAATAATAGAGGGTAATTTTGTAAAATAGTAGAGTCATGGCGGTGTTTGAGAGGAAATTTATGGTGCATCAGATGTGTCTAATTGTGTATATTTTTTTCAAAGAGATAAAATTTTGAAAAAAATATTTATCTTTTTAAATTATATATCTCGGGTCATTTCTCTCACATAAATAGATATAGATGAGACTTACATTTTTATTATTTTTGTCAATTCTTTCATGATTTATTTCTTTTTCTCATTTAAAATAATATAATTTTACATCATTTAAAATAATATATTTTTTTCTAAAAAAATTCAATGAGATGAAATTTAAAAAAAAATGATTTTTTTTTAAATATGAAAAATATATAATTAATTGGATATATTTGATGCACGAAATATTTGTTACATGTATGAATGGACAAAGATACAACTCAAGGTTGCGTGGTCATTACGTTCAAACATTCTGAGGTGTGGACGGCAAAGATACAACTCAAGGTTGCGTGGTCATTACGTTCAAACATTCTGAGGTGTGGACGGCAAAGATACAATTCAAGGTTGCGTGGTCATTACGTTCAAACATCTAGAAGGGTGGCAAAGTGGGAACAAAAATTTGGAAGCATTTACTTGAGGAGATATTTTCTTTTACCGAAAAATCATAATTAATTGAAATATGGTAAGAAAATAAGTTTGATAAAAAAAATTAAAAAAAAAATAATTTGATTGATCAAAATATTATCGAAAAAATTTATTTAAGGGGATGTATGGATTAGAATTGTAAAAGACTTTTTTGAGCTAAAAAATCTTATAGATTTTAAAAGATTACTTAAAATTGGAGAAACTTTAAAGACTTTTTAAATATATTTTTTACAATCAAGATTTCATAAGATTGGATTTTAAATGATTTTAATAGAATTTATAAGATTTGAAAGGACAATACGAATTTATAAGATCTTAAAAAATCATATGAATTTTTAACAAACATTCAAAATTACAAAAATCAATAAAAAAAGAGAAAGGTTATACTTACAACCTATTTTTGTTTACAACATTTTACAACCATATCTTAACTGTTGATTTCCCTCAATCAACGGATATCATTAATTGCAAATTAAATATTAATTAATGAGTTTGATTTGCGAAAATAATAATCATTGATTGACGGAAATCAACGGTTAAGATATGGTTGTAAAAGATTATAAACTAAAATAGGTTGTAAGTATAATCTTCTCCATAAAAAAATAACAAAGAAATGCAATGAAATTAATAAAAAAAGTAAAATCTAATATAATTTTCTCAATCAGTAAAACATAATATAATTTTTAACAAACATTCAAAATTACTAAACAACAGCTTTTTACATATATGATTATAAGACCCAATTTTTTTAATTATAAAAGTAATTCTAAATTATCATATAGAACCTAAAGTTCATGATAAAATTTCTTTTGGAATTTTTTTCAATTGAACTTGAAAATCTTGGGGTTTTTGTATTACGTGATGAGAGTTTTCTAATCGTATATTAGGTTTAATTACATGAAAATTTAGAAAAATTCTCAAATTTTTTCAATCGATACATTGAAACCTTAAATTGCTTTGCGACTTTTGAGAAACAAGCTTTTAGTTATCTATTGACATAAAATTGTTTGAAATCGTTTCCTATAGTGAAGAAATTTCGTTCATGAATGTATTGTTACGAAATATAGGGTTCATATTATGAAAGTTTCAATCTTTCTTTAAATTTATATTATTTCATTGATGTAAAACGAAGATTGGTTTGGGGGTTTTAGTTCCCCTGTTATTTTGTCATTGTTTTATGTTGTTTTTAATACAAAAATCACACGTTTTAGTGCCAAGAAAAACTGCGACCCATAGCTTGAAAAATCACTTTTTAAACTTTCAAAATTTCTCGTTAATTTGTTGTTTCTTGGTTGTTTTGTGATGAAAATCGCTCAAAATATGTTTTTTGACGAAACACCCATGGCGGAACTCAATTTCGAGCAGTCAATCTGCCAAAGGAAGAATAAAACACTGCAATAGAAGAATCTCAAGAAATCTTAGGGGTTAGGGTGAGATTGTGAGAGAGGCATCCTATTTATATTTTTCACTAAAAAGACTCACGAAATCCACACCAATAGAAAATCCATTAAAATCGTCGGATTTTTGAATACCATGATATTGTGATTCTATTGTTTAAAATCCTGATTGAATACCAACAGATTTGGATATATTCTAAAATAATCCTTTAAAATCCTAATCGAATACCACATGACTTTTTTTCAATCCATTAAAATCCTAATCGAACACCAACTGATTTTTTTGTCAAAAAACAATAAATTAAAATCCTTTGAAATCTCAATCCAATACATTCCCTTAAAATTGCAAAGTCTTCGTTTGGTTGAAAGTAAATTAGTAATGGAAAAATAGGTTGAATTAACAAAAACACCACGTTATAATTTTTTTAAAAGATTCATTGCCTAAACCAAGAAATGGTCAACCATATCCTCATACCCAGAAGCGACATCGTTGGAGACAGACGATGAATACATGGTTACAACTCTCTCAAGCTCAACAAAATTATATAGCATCTTCCATAACCTTCTTCCTCTTCTAATTCCTCTCGCTTTGATGAGGGGAAAGAAAAAGGGCCATAAAAAAGAAGATGAGGTGGAAGATTTGTACGTTACCATAGGAAAGATATAGAAAACACCATTATTTTTCTCTCTCCTAATTTATTTCTCTCTCCTCGTAAGGAAAGAATGAGGAGCAATATTCTGAGAACTCACCAGGGTCACTTTGGTCCATCAGTTTTCTACTTTTTCGATTTTCTCAAAATACCACATCTCAAGTGGTATTTTGGAACAGTGACATTCAGCACAAAATCAACACAGATATAGTTTTCTAGGCAACATTATTTTGTATATATTTTTTTTCATAAACTTGTACCAAACATGATATTTTCCAATACCCACCCACACTTCCCCATTTATCCCAAAAGAAAACATGTACCAAACACACCTTGGTGAAGCCAATGCATTCAGTAGTTCATTTATTCTTGGAGTGTCACTCTCAATTCAGTTAGGATTAAAGAGAATTTAATTAGTGTCAAATATTAAAATGTGAAAGGTTATTTAGCCATATTTAAAATGTAGTTAATTTTTAAAAATAATCTAGGACCAAGGCACTCACTCCACCCAATGTGGCTCTACTATTGTATTTATTCCAGGATACGTAGGTGAATTATACACAAATTTATAGAATCCTATGATTCGCCTAGATATCCTAAAATAAATGAACCATCTATGCACTTTTAGTACATTGGTTGTATTGAAGTTCTGTTAGACAAAGTGGCTAATTCGCTCGTCCCCCATCAATTTGTCATAAAATGCCTCAATCCGTCTGGTTTCAATTTTGAAAGTTGGTTAAAATTCTCCATTCACCTCTTTAACCCGTTCTATCTCGCCAAATTGCCAAAATATTAAAAATACTTTTTTTTCAAAAATTATACTCACAATAAATATTAAAGGTATTAAGTAAAGACAAAAAAGTATAAAAATATTTTTAATTTAATTTTTTTTAAATAACCCGATGGATCAACCTGGGTTTCAACTCGCTCTTATATAAATTGGATTCAAATGGGTTGACGGGTTAGAAATTCCAATCCAACTTGTCTTTTGTGCATGTTAAACATGCCAACTCGATGGGTTAGACTCGTTTTGCCACCACTATAAGCAATCAAACTTTGGCATTCGGTTATATCCTCATGTTATTAAATAATAGCAACAACAATAATAATAGGATTTTGTGTTTTGCCACACGTTATCAAACTTGGCATTGGGTTATATCCTATTATTATTTTAAATGAAAGAAAGAGATAAACAATGAAAATTATTGCGGCAAAAAGTGAGTATTTTTTAATTTAAATTTTAAATAAAAAAATTAATTTAACTAAAATGACCATCATTTAAAAAAGTAATTTTTTTTCATAATAATAATAATAATAATTTATGATAATTTTATTTTGGGTAGATATTAACACGTATTAAAAGTTCTAATGGATCTCAATAAATAATTTAAGTCTCTCCATTTTTTATTAGGGGGTTGTCATCTTCCGAAATCGAACCCATTATCTTATCTTTGGATACATAAAATCGATCATACCGATAACTCTTAACATATAATATGATTGATTTTGTTAAATGACATTTCGAGTTTTACGCTAAAGAAACACTATTATATTAAGTTATAATGCGGAAATGACCATCATCCTGAGGTCTAGCTGATACATCATTATCGCATCAAAGGTTATCAACCTGTGCAAAATATTAATTTGGACTTGTTTCGTTTCCAATTCGTTGAGGAATACTTAATTGGGCCTGGGCTTCTTTGATGCAACCCAGTTCATTCGTTATCCAATGTTTTTCGATTCAGACGAAAACAACCGAAATTATTTTGGCTTTCTCTTAAAAAAAATAAAAAAATAAAGTAAGCAAACCATATTATCACCTGCTTGCACTCCCCGGATAAGGGAATCGAGGTAGCTGCATTGAAAGCCGAACAACCACGTTCCAATTAGGTAAAGTCTAGACGAACAATGCAAGAAAGTTGCAATGTATTGTATATTACTTGCGATAGGTCAATTTTAAATAAGGTTCGTTTTTTCTGTGCAGTTATTGCAGATAAGTTATCTGTTATAAGTCTAATACGACGTTGTTTTGGAACGAAAATTAAGGTATTTTTGTAATTTTAATTTATTTCAGGGTTATGATAGTCTTTATATTTATAATTTTTTAAGATTTCAATACCAAAACGATGTCATTTTGAGAATAAATGCATATAACTTATCT